ATATATATATAAAGAGAGAGAGAGAGAAATAAAGAGAAGATGAGATAGGGTGTTTATAATGTCTAAGAGATAAGAGAGAGAGAGAGAGAAAGAGTTATATGAGAGATAGAAGTGTTAGAGTTAAGTTCAATTATGATCGTCAGATCAGTATTTATGAGATGATCTGAACCGTCTTTTATGTTAAAATTACGTTGTATATTGTCTGTTGAATGTGTTTATGTTTTATTTCAAAACGATCTGAATCTCTATTTGTCTCTGGATTCAAACTCAGCTATACTTTATTATATAAATATATGTTTATGTTTTTGTATCTGTAGTTTGTGTGGGTGAGAGTTTTGTGATATGGTGGTTCTCTGTTTTCCTGGATCTGTTTGATCAGTGTCATTGAATAATTTGTATTTGTCTGGCTCTGTTTGTTACAACAATCAAAATGCGTTTTGATTCCTATTTCTAGAAATCTAATATTGTTGCATTATCAGTTTGAATGCATTGAAATTATATACATGATTGATGATTTTTCTCTACTTAACTTTATATGTTTGATGTTATATTTATAATTATTGTGATTTTTAGCCTATTTATTAATATTTATAATTATTTTTATTATATTACCGGTCCGACCAATGACCCAACGGTTGAACCAGTAACCCACCAACCCGGTTCTTTTACTGGGTTGACGTCCGGGCCGGGTTTTAAAACACTGTCAGGAGGTGATCACGCTTAGCTCAATTGAAGGGGTCCCTCCATCGAAAATCAGTGCCTTTGTGGAGGATATTAAATTTTTTGCTAGACACCTAGATCTTATGTTTTTACACAAGCCAAGAGCCCTTAATAGGGCAGCTCATTGAGTGGCAGCAACGACGTTGTTCGATTCTTTTGTTGTGAATTAGGTCAGTTGCCCCCTATTGAGTTTAAGGCTTTTATTTTCCTTTGATTGTAACCAACATTTTCATACTTAAATGAATTTACAACCTACTTGCTCAAAAAAAAAAAAAAACAGATATTCAGCTCACGGGTATTACCCCCACTCTCTCTTTACCTGTTAGTCTGCTTCTACTATTACATTTCAAAATTAGTTGATTTATATTTGTATAAATTTTAGCCTATTTCAATTAATTGTGAGTTTTTGGTTTTGATGCTTTAATTTTACAAGTTGTATATGAAATTGAATGAATTGGATACATGTTTGATGATTTTGAGTTTTTTATTTGATCTTATAGACATTAAGCATTCTATTTTCATAATTATTGTGATTTTTTAGCTTATTTATAATTATTATTATTTTTTTATTATATAACCAATTCAACTAGTGGCACAATAGTTAAACTAGTGACCCATTGACCCAATTCCTTCCCCTAACTGTTAATGGCAGTAGATGGCAAGACCTACAAAGGGAGAATTTCATTTTGCATCTCAAAAAGATTTAAGTTTTTCTAACTTTACACCCTTCAAGATGAGAATTCTTGTACTGTACCTTAATATATTAAAAAGTGAAAATTGAGGCTGAATCTACCTCAATTGACTTATAATGAATTTAATCCGTCAAGAAAAATTGTTTAGAGATAAGTCTGTTTTTAATCTTACTAATAAATAGTTAAGTTCACTATTTTTTTTAAACTCTAAAATATCATTCACTAAAAAAAGGTTAAATTAATTTTCTATTTTAGAAATTGTTATCCCTTAATTCAATGTCAATTAAAATAAGTTAAGAGCATCTTCAATCTGGACTCAAATTTAAATTTGAGTCAAAATGGTCTAAAAAACTTCTCCAACCATTGGCTCAAACTCATACTAAATCAAGACAAAACTTATTCTAGACCTAAATTGAAGCAGATTCAAATTTTATATCAAATTTCTAACGGTAACTTTTTAACCTATCCAAAACTAAAAGACTTTTTTGACTACTTGTTTTTTGTCTTTTCTTACCTTTCTCTACGATACTGCTTCCATCGTCGACTACCACTGAAACTTTTACAAATCATTTGAGGGCCATTAGGCAAATTTTTTGCTTTTCATCTTCCATCTTCTTAATTTCTTGTATTTTTTAAAAATCTAATCTCACTCATATTTTATATTGTATAAACCCTAAGATTACCCATCAAATTTTTCTTTGATTTTTTCAAGTTAAACACTATCGGTAGTACAATTTCAAACCATTGATTCTTCCTGAAATTTTAAACCTTTGGTACGCACAAATTTAGAAAATTTGTCATTTTATTTCTTTAATCTTCCATTTTTGTTAAAAAAAAAAGTATGTTTTTGTGTTTTTCAGACCATACCCATGTTAACTATTTTTTTTCTTTATCTAGATTTATAAAAAATGATAAGGGATTATAATAATTTTAGAATTCTGATGTGGTTTCTTTATTTTCATATAGTGTTATATATATTTTCATTTTTTTTTAATTATCCATTTGTGAAAAGATAAAAATTTCATTTATTTTATCAAATATTATGATTTGAATGACAAAAAATTAAGTTTTGGGATAATAAGAGAATTTTTTAAAAGATTTGAGTAGATATTTGAGTTTGTCTATTGGAGTACTCTATACCAAATCAAGTTTTTTATTCAAAGTTGAGTCTAAATTTAAGTCATAGTTGGAAATGCTCTAATAAAATCTTCATTATAAATTTAAAATTCAAAGCTCTCTCTCTCTCTCTCTCTCTCTCTCTCTCTCTCTAGCTAGCTAGTGGCGACATTGTCGTGGTCGCAAGTGATGCTGAATCCATCGAGTAACTGGTTTGCAACTTAGCACAAGAATAGTCTTTTCTCTCACCTCCGCAGATATGGTTAATGTTTCAAAAAAAATTATTTGTCCGTTCTTTCTCTGTTTCTCAAAACTCAAATTGTTGTTTCATATTATCTATCTGTGTGTGTATTTGTTTTATATTATTTATCTATGTGTGTATTTTTTAAAAATATTATTATTTTTTGGGCTTGAATATTTCATGTTACTATTTTGTTATTATATTACTGTTTATGTTACTGTTTTTGTTAAGTATGTTACTGTTCACGTTATTATTATTTTGAGCATATTACTATTTTTTAAAAAAATATTAATATATATATATATAAAAAAAAAGTAAAATTTAACCGAGAAAGAATAGTAAAAATAGTAAAATTCAAATATAAAAAAAAAGTTATCATTTAAACACAAAAAATAATATCATTTAACTTATATATGTATATAATATGAGAGAAAGATATAATCCTAACTTATATATGGATATAAATAGATATGAGAGAATTTTTTTTTTAATATTAGTCAAATTCTTAAAATTTAGGAGATTTTAATTTTTAGTTTTACTTTGCTTCTAAATAGAATGAATAGTTTGGTAAAATTGACAAAAAACAAACTTCATAATAAATAAGTTTATTTGACAGACTTAAGTTTAAAGAAGTCCATATAGAGGGACCGACTTCCAAATTTCTCTATTAAAAATATTATAATGTGACACTTTTATTAGTTTTCGTTGTTTATTTCGTCAAAATTCACTTATTAAAGTTGATTGAATGAGTAATGGAAATTAACAGAAAAGTTACATTACAACATTTTTTAATATATTGAGAATATGATGTAAAAAATATAGGCCCTATTTGGGTTGCATCTAAAAAAAAAAGTATCTGCAAATAATTTTTGGGAAGAGTTTTAAAAAAACGTGTTTTAATATTTTTTTGTACCTCAGAACTTGCTTCGTTATATGATTTTAAAAACAGTTTTACGGAACAGTAAACAAAAAAACTTGTTTGTACATTAGCCTAAAAAATAATGAAAACAATAATCCAAATAACCAAAAGAAATTTGGTTCAAATCATGTTATACCAAACTTTAATTTCTTCTTAATTATCAAAATAAAATACCAATAATTTTTTCTCAATCATCACAAATTTTGGATTTTCTCAATTCGCCACAGATCTAGTTTTTTCTTCTCAATTCATCACTAATCTGGTTTCAATTCGTTGGTTTCTTCTCAAGTTGTCACAGATTTGTTTTTTTTTTTGGTCAGATCCAAAGAACACAAACACAATACCAAAATAATAACAAATAACCAAAGAAATTTCTGTTAAAACAAAATATGGTTTTATAGATCTTGTTAAATCCAAATATGGTTTTACAGATCTCGTAAAAACCAGATCTGTAAAGCACGTACAGATGCTTATGAGAAAGAGAAAGAGAAGGCAATCGGCGTTCATTGTCGACCTTCGGCCTTTGTCGGTGCTCGTACAGATGTTGGTCAACGACGCACAGATGTTGTCGACCTTCGGCCTTCGTTGATACCGTGAAGAAAGAGAAGGAGAAGGCGAAAGATGTCTTCGTCTGTGCTCTGAAAAAGGAGAAGCAGAAGGCGACATGCGTTCATTGATTTAGAGTGGAGAAAAATTGGGGATTTTTAGGCTTTATATAGTATATGTATATTTTGTAGCCAAGGAGATTTGATGTTGGGATCTCATTAACTAGACTTGTATTTTGCTGTTTCCGTGTTTTCCAAATTTGTTCTTAAATTTGGCCAAAACACCCCCCTTGTTTTGTAAAACTCTATCTCAACTCCTACCTTTTTTTTTCTTCTTGAAAATTAGAGATTGAAAAATTTAACCAATTAGATTTTCCTTATTTTTTGTGATTTGAGAACAAAAAATTATTTTGTAAACACAAACCAAATAGACTCATAATATTTGAAGGTAAAAAATGAGAATACTTAAATATTTCAAGATGTAAAATACAATTAGCCCACTTGCAAACCCAACACGAAATCATTGAATTTTATCATTACAATTTTAGGATGATAAATTGATGGATCTTTTTAGATCCGTTTAACCAGACGAGTTGATACAAATATAATTAAATACGATATGAATTTTTTGAATTTAACATAGTTTATACACAACATAAATTGATACAAATTTGACCACACACTATTATAAATGATTGAATTTATATTGAACAAATTTTGATTAGATACGACATAAATCTATTCCCATCACGTGACAGTTGAAAGTTGCCTTGTTACGGGCCCAGAGCCGTGGCCTTTTTCCTACCCATTAGTCCCGACCAGACACATTACCATCTCTAATTATAAACCGTGGGACTTGGGTTGACGTGACTAACAGGTTGATCTCTAGAAAGATCTCGACGTATAAGGGCTGTGACAGTTGAAGCTCGCGACACGACTACTATAAGCCAAGTTCAAAGCGCTGTTAAATCACCTGGGAACAGGACAATCGTGTTGTGGGAACACACGGAGGTGGAGTCTTGGACGTCTGATTTTGGGTGGATACGCACAAATGGTATGCTTTTCGGTGCGGATTTTCATCAAACACCTTCCATTCATGTATTTTGATGAAGAACTCGCATGTATGTGTTCACTTGTTTTGTGGGTTTTGCAGTCAGTGACGATTCACACTAATTTCGGCGACATTAAGTGCGAGATCTCTTGCGATGAAGTCCCCAAAGCAGCCGAGGTTAGTGTAATCTTGTACCCTATTCACTGTATTATGCTTTACAATTTGTCTTTTTGAGAAAGCTGTTGCGACCCCCCCCCCCTCTTACACACACACAAAAAAAAAAAAAGAAGAAAGAAACTGTTCATTCAATTCTAAGAGAGGAAGACTAGATTCATTTGGGTGAAGTCATGAACATGGAAATATTTATCTAGCCATGGGGGCAAAAAGCGCTGTAAACATTAAAGATTGGAATTGAAAGATTTTTTAATGATGAATTTGGCCATATCCAATGAACTGCCGGTTGACAGTTAAAAGAGTAAGGAAAGGCATTAGCACATGCTTTCTTGAGCTAGTCTGCAAAATGGTGAGATAGTTCATATGGTTTGACCGGCGTTTCTGGGCTTTAGTTTGTGCTGATTTCTACCTACGTTAAAAAATGTATGGTTGTATGATTCTGACTTTTGGCATTGAATAAAACCTAAATGAGTGATGATGGGTGTGATGTTCGTAACGATGCTACTCACTTATCTAGAATCTTTTTTGCATTATTGGTTATTACCGTGTACATGTAATGGGTTTTCTTGTTGATGCTCCATCCTTAACTGAATTGAACAATATCTCATCCCAACTTTTCATTGTCATCTACACAAATCCTGCATTGCAAATCTGCCATGTTTTGCAGTTAATTTGGTTTGCTATTTTAGGTGCATATGATAAAGACTCAGACCACTAGGCATTTATTCTAGGATGAACATGTGTATGAATGGATGGAATGAACCTTGTGCTTTGCAGATTTCTGGAGAAGGAAACGAGTGGTAATAAAAACATGGGATACTCATTTGTTTAAAAATGAGAGGAGAACGCTGGATTCCTCATTTGTTGAAGAATGTGCTAGCATGGTTTATCCTTTTCCTTTACGGAAATGAGATCTGGTTTCTCGTATGGCACATTGTTGGGCCAACCATATGATGTACACCGGTCTTGAGTACTGTTGATAGTTTTTAATATTTTTATCGATTGGGGAGGGATTTTAGGAATTTATCCTTCAAAATTTGTTATTTGGGCCTTATTGGAATTGAAATTGTTGAAGCCTAGGGAATGGTGGAGTGTGCCTTTTTTCACTTTGCACGACAGTGAACTAGTTCAATAATTACATGTTTGTAGAGGGGGTCAAAATCAGTTTAAAAACAATAAATAATAAGGGATGAAAATGACAGATTTTCATTTTTTTTTTTGACAGAAAACAAAAACTTTTATTCATAAACAGTTACAAGTGGACTAGAAATCAAAATGAAAGATTTCAATCATCAACTTCATCATCCTATCACATATGTTGACGTTCATTTGGTGCCCTTTACTTTTTAACCATCTTCACTTGTTGGGTGCAATTGCAGTGCCAGATGTGAAATAGAAACTGTATTTGATTTTTGAAAGGCCTCCGTAGTTAAGTAACTACTGGCACAACTGTAGTCATCACCTTTATACTCATGCATTGTGTATGTATCTGCTGACAATTATCATCTATTTTTTTTTTCCCGGGTCCTAAACTAGATTTTGAAATGGATCAGGCACCAGCCTTTTAAATCTTTATGACACATTTGTGTTGTCCTGATTACCCATGATGTATGTTGTTATATAATTTTCAGTATTTTGGATGGTTTTGTATGAAAATTGCAAAAAATAAAAAACCGATTCTTTAGCCCTGCAATTTGTAATTTTGTATGAGATACATTGTCAAATACAGTTTTTTATCGCTTCTATTAATGACACGCCTCCCAGCTAGCAATATTAATATTGTGTTTGGATACAGAATTTTTTGGCATTATGTGCCAGTGGCTATTATGATGGAACCATATTCCACAGAAATATAAAGGGTTTTATGATCCAAGGTGGAGACCCAACAGGCACAGGAAAAGGTGGGACCAGTATATGGGGCAAGAAATTCAATGATGAGATAAGAGAATCTCTGAAGGTAAATTCTTGATGAGCTCCCTGAGTTTTTGATATTTGGCTATTGCCTTCTGCAGTTCTTCCGGAACTTCTTTCTTAAAAATGGAGTGTGTTGTAATCTCAGTTGAAACTTGTGCTGGTATAATTTGTTTCCTTCACCAATGGTGGGGGAGTTCGGCAGTATTTTTTGTCCCCTGGATATACAAGCCTCTGGCCAATTGCAAGACCTGTGAGTCGATTTAAAGTACAAAGGAAAGTTCAATCAGCTTAGTAAGCTCTAGCATAGCTGTTGTGGGCACCTAAAAAAGGTCACTACCTAGCCTGGTCTTGTTAGCCGAAGGCTCTAGGAGGGGTGGACTGAGTACAAATGTTGCTTTCATATTCTTGTGGTTGTTGGCCCAAACATTTGCCATTGCACCTCAGTGTGTGAGCATCTCCTGAGGACAATTTTAGCGTGTGTGGGGAGGGTTTTGTAGGAAGAGGGTGGTGGGGTGTTGAAGGAGGATGCCGTTGGTTGGAACTCGTCTGAATACTTCTTGTAGGTGGATGCAGACATGCTACTATTCAAGTCCCCAGACTTTTAGATAATATCGTAACATGCTGAGAAAGAAAATATTTGTTTGATTAAATTCGCTGCATAGAGCAAGTTTAGAATTGTTTATTTTCAATATCGAAACATGCTGAGAAAAGTAGAATTGTGCATTTCAATGTGATGATTTCTCTTCTGGTCACTTATGCAGCACAATGCTAGGGGGATACTATCAATGGCCAATAGTGGTCCCAATACCAATGGAAGTCAGTTCTTCATAACTTATGCAAAACAACCACATCTCAATGGATTGTACACCATCTTTGGCAAAGTTATTCATGGGTTTGAAGTTCTAGATATCATGGAAAAGGTATGCTTGCTAAGGTTAATAATTTATTGTCCATGGGTCAGGATATGTGGTTCAAACCTTTGCCCAGTATCTTTTTATCACCCAATTATCCTTGACGTTAATATTTTCACTAGTGAGGCCCTATATTTGTAACCTGAACAACCCTTGTGTTAATGCGCCTGTTATGGTGCTTGTGAACATACTTGACACAAATATATTGAGGAGTTTGTTATTAATAAACTTGTTTTGGGTTTTATGCAGACTCCAACGGGACCAGGGGATCGACCTCTGGCAGAGACAAGAATCAATCGTGTGACTATACACGCCAACCCACTCGCTAACTAGCCTTGCACCAAAACGTCTCTGGTATGTGAGCTCCTTGTATGAAGGTCAAAGGAGCAGAATGTCTGTAATGGTAACATATTTTCAATTTGTCAGTTTCACCTGTCAGCTTCAACCGCTGACAGTTAATAGACTTGTATTTGAAGTTTAGAAAGAATGCAGCAAAAGAACAACGGGGGAAATCAAATTGTGTTAACTGCATTTTTACATGTAGCAGGACTTTGATCGTCCTGGAATTTCATTATTACCAATTTGAAGGGTAGTTCAAGTGGTAATAGGGATGAATTGTAAATTCAGATGTCTTGAGTTTGAATTTTAATAGCCCTTTAAGACTAGATTATAAAAAATTTATCCCTTATGAATATTTTAATTTCAGCGTGGATGATTTACTTTTAACGGGACTGAAAAGGAGATTAATCGAAGTGTGTGTAAGTTGATTTAGACATTTATAACCGTTGAACTAAAAAAGAAAATAAATTATTAGTAACTACTGGATTTGAAACAATTTAAATTGGCTAATGGAAGTCGAGGACAAACACATAAGGGGTAGAATTTTTGTTGGATTGGTTCTCAACCATTCAATTTTTGTCAACTTTCCAAAGTGAAAAATATAAATTATAATTTTTGTTATTCAATTTTTATCATCGTTTTCATTTGAAGTAAGGTAGCACTTTTTGAAAACTTAAAAAGGGTTGAAGTACTACGAACTTACAATGAAAAAGAGGGGCATCACTGTATTTTACCTAAAAAAAACAAAAGGTAAAATGGGGTATAAAGGAGGTCGGGCATTGTACCCCTAGGGCTTGGAGAGGGATTTGGATTGGTTTTTTTAAATTATTTTAAACTTAAATGTTTTTTTACAAAGATGAGATTTAATATTTAATTTAATTTATACTTGTATTTGGTATGTAATACATACACATGTAAGATTACAGATATATCATAATTATTTGTTCTAAAAATGACTATTTTATTCTTGATTAATCCAATTCATAACTATGTTAAAAGATATAATTGTTTTGTAAATCCTTAACTTTTTACTCATCTACTCAAATTCACCTTCTCTTAGTTTTACAAAATTCATAATTTTAAGTTTAATTTTCAAGCTAACTACGAACTGTGTTTGAAAACTCAGGACTAAAATTTTTGTATAAACATGAGATTTATGTATCATTTGAACTATTTTTTTTAAACTTATCTTATCAAATTTCCAAGTAGTCTTTCGTCAAACGGCCCCATAAGGCCTAAACAAGTGGCCCGCACTTCTCGTTCACTCGACTATCTTGAGAGCGGACCATAGTTCCCAAAATTTTATTTTAATACATTATTTTAAATTATTTAAAAATTAAAAATAGAATAAAATAAATAAATAATTCAAAATATTAGTCAAAATAACAAAATTTTTTTTAAATATTATAAAAAATATTTCAATTTAATCATTCATTTTTTTTTGATTAAACTTCATTCATTTATTCAGTCTTGCTTTTGTATAAACAAAAATAAAATTTGGATGTTTGTTTGATTTAACGGTGGGGTGCCTACAAGCATTTTGATGCCAGAATTAAAATATTTATAAAAAAAAATTATCAAAATTCGAACCAATGGTTAGCTCGTTGCTCTCCACTTGAGCGGGGGTTAAATTTGGATGCTTCCAATAGCAACCCAACTTCCCTGAGCACACAAAACTGGGACTTAGGGTTGCAAAAATCGCCACCATCAAAACCCTCTCCCTGTCTACTAAGCTATCTCTGTACATCTGCAAACATATACAGGTTGAATGGCGAAGGAAGATGAGAACCCAACAACTCCAGTGGCGTCAAAGCCGAGTCCCAGTCCAAGTCCCAAAGACCAATTTCCTTCTCAAACCAGTTCGTCCCACCCTAACAACAACAACAACAACAACAACAACAACAACAACAACAATGACAACAATTCTCCGCCACNTAAATAAATAATTCAAAATATTAGTCAAAATAACAAAAATATTTTTAAATATTATAAAAAATATTTCAATTTAATCATTCATTTTTTTTTGATTAAACTTCATTCATTTATTCAGTCTTGCTTTTGTATAAACAAAAATAAAATTTGGATGTTTGTTTGATTTAACGGTGGGGTGCCTACAAGCATTTTGATGCCAGAATTAAAATATTTATAAAAAAAAATTATCAAAATTCGAACCAATGGTTAGCTCGTTGCTCTCCACTTGAGCGGGGGTTAAATTTGGATGCTTCCAATAGCAACCCAACTTCCCTGAGCACACAAAACTGGGACTTAGGGTTGCAAAAATCGCCACCATCAAAACCCTCTCCCTGTCTACTAAGCTATCTCTGTACATCTGCAAACATATACAGGTTGAATGGCGAAGGAAGATGAGAACCCAACAACTCCAGTGGCGTCAAAGCCGAGTCCCAGTCCAAGTCCCAAAGACCAATTTCCTTCTCAAACCAGTTCGTCCCACCCTAACAACAACAACAACAACAACAACAACAACAACAACAATGACAACAATTCTCCGCCACTGAAGGAGCCGTTAAACTCCAAAGAGTTCCTGGTATCGGTGGCCTCGACGATCGCCTCTCAGCCTCTTCAAAACTCTGATCCTGACGTCTGGGGTGTCCTCACCGCTATCTCCACCAAGGCCCGTAAGCGCCACCAGGTCACATCATCTCTAAGCCCCTACCAAAACCCTTCATTTTTTGAGTTATTTTTTTTTCTCTTATATCAATTTACTGGTTCAATTCCATGTCATGTCGGTTATAATTGTGTAAATTTGTAATATGAAGTGTTATTGCAAGCAATGTGGAGTCAATATTTGTAAGTTGAAGAAATGAGTTCCTAGTCGTTGAACCTCAATTTTTATGTGTTTGTCTCATGTTGCTTTTGGAGCTTTGATCTTTGAAGCATCTTTGACCATGGAATTAGGGTGAGAATTCACGAAATTAGTATAGAATTTTTTCAATGCTGTATTGGGTGGCCAAAATATAAGTTTAGTAATATTTTAAGGGTATTTTCTGCATGCTAACTTTTGAATTGGCCTGTAGCACAGCGTCTTCATTCATGCTCTACATTGTCAATACACTTGTTATGGGTTTGTATATTTTATCTGTTTGACATGAATTTTAGCTGATGATGTTGACAAACCAGGGTATAAATATGCTTTTGAGTTCAGATGAACACTGCATTGGCCGACTAGTAGAAGATGGTCGTTTCCAGATTGTATCACCTGCAATTAGTGCATGTCATTGCAAAATTTATAGGAAGAGGGTTGCTAATGAAGATGTGGGGCATCCTTCCAACTTCTACACTTCCATTTTCTTGAAAGATACTAGGTTGTATATTGTTTGCTTCATTTATGGGATGCACTACAAAATGAGAATTTTCTGACCTTGTTGAGCATTCTGCAGCACAAATGGAACATTTCTCAACTGGGAAAAGTTGACTAAAAGTAGCTCTGAAGCTAAACTCCATCATGGTGACATTATATCATTTGCAGCTCCTCCTCAACATGGTAAAAATGTTAGCATTTTAAGGTTCACGTGCTCCCCCTTCCAGACATTACTTTTTATATGGAGATGGGGTTTGTGCCTTTTTCTTTTTTTTGCTTTATATTAGTACTCTAGTACATTTTTTTCCTGTTGAAAGTAACACATCTCTCGGGCACGTCATTTCTGGTTTACTTTTCAGCATGCATCAGTCGTGTGCTCAAAAGTAAATTCGTCATATCCATGGAAATTTTGATTTGAGTGATAACTTCTGTATTTTTGTTGCATGGTTGCAGAACTTGCATTTGCTTTTGTATTCCGAGAAGTTTTCAAATCAACTTCCTTGCTGGATGACACACTTTTGAAGAGGAAAACAGGTATGTTCATCATTAAAGTTAGATATGTCCGTTGACAGTTTTTAAGGACACAGAGCTGCAAAAAGGTTTGTGGGTCAATTCTGATAGTTAATGTTAATTTTAAGGGTTGTATACTGTGGTGGTCTTGTGGAAAGAGTGGTCTCTCAAAATTTTCTTGCAATTTGATTAGACCAGCTCAAATCTCTTATTTGTTGATATACTGTTAACAATTGATATCAACTACCATTTTAGGGGAAGCACACTTATCTTGGTAATGATACACCACATGCCACGATTCCTTTACTTTTGTATCCAAATCATGCTTCTTAAATTTCATGCTGTGAGGCCTGGACTTCTCTATGCTTATAAGCTTGTATATTCTTGTGTGAAGAGGAGTTTGGGCCCGAAAGAAAGAGACTAAAAGGAATTGGCATTGGTGCTTCTGAAGGTCCTATATCTCTTGATGATTTTCGAAGTCTTCAACGGTCAAACACGGTATCGATGTTTTGATTGCTGAGCTATTGTAATTGATGACAGAGATCTTAATTATACAGTCAGTTAAGAACCTCCAATCATTTCTTTCTTCATNCGTTGTTTTGATTACTGAGCTATTGTAATTGATGACAGAGATCTTAATTATACAGTCAGTTAAGAACATCCAATCATTTCTTTCTTCATACAACTCATACATCTTAAGCACATGCATGTGCAGGAACTGAGGAAGCAATTGGAAAATCAAGTCATGACCATTGATTGCTTGCACAGAGAGAACCGTGCAACTANTCATACATCTTAAGCACATGCATGTGCAGGAACTGAGGAAGCAATTGGAAAATCAAGTCATGACCATTGATTGCTTGCGCAGAGAGAACCGTGCAACTATTGAGCATAATGAACTTGTATGGGCTGCTTGTGTTTGTGACCCTCTTTCTTTCCTCTCATTTATGCATGTTTGTGTGCACTGAATTGGTTTTAGTGAGTCTACAATTCACAATGTGTGGGCTGAAAAGCATTATTAAATGATCAAATTGAGTTGGTGTTAGTGTGTCTGTGAGTAGGTATTTTCTTAGCTAAATTTGTTTTATGTCCTGTAATCATCTCAATTGATTTCTTGTTGGGAAGTCCTTGATCCAAATTGTTTCTAGTGTGCCGTATCTTCTACTTTAATGAAGGTTACAGTAGCTTTGATTTTCGCTCTTCAGGAGAACATGATCATGAAAAAACATTGTTCCAAGATGATGCCGATGGGAAGGAATTTGGTCAGATGGACCCTTCATTATGTTAAAATTATCATTCATCATTTGGTGGTTAATTAATTATATGGGGTAACAAACTGAAACTTGTAAGAATGGGATGTTGCTATTGCATGCCAAGGCTCATACTGAACAGGTATCTAATGAAACTTGTGGAGGATTATGGGTCATTTCTCTCTCTTTGTCGGACATTTTGCTAACTAGTGTCTAAGATGCACTTGGTACCAATATCTATGTTATGTTACAGCTGGTGTAGGCACTTCACACTTTTTAGGTCTTGTCTAACAAGTTCTCACCAGTCATCGGTGGTGGTTAAAAATTGGGAAGAATATTGTGATTCTTATGTTGGTTTTTGCTTGTCCTTTTTGCAATTTACCCAACAAAGTTTTGTTCCTTGACATTGTCTTAATTGACATTCATACCTCTTATGCAGGAGATCAAAGACTTGAAAGCATCAATTTCAAAATCTTACCTTGATCAACAGGAAGAGTTGCGCCAGTTGTTAGATGCCAAACAGAAGGAACTAGCGGAGGTTAATAGAATATCCGCTGAACAAAAACATGCTATGGAGAATCTTACTGAAAGACTTGGTGCTTCTATGCTGTCATGTACTGAAGCAAATGAAGTCATAAATAGGTGAGACATGCATCATATTTGGTTGGTGATCAGATAATGGGCATTGAAAACCATGCATCGGTGACATGTTTATTCATTCCATTATTGTTTTAGTGCATTGCTTGTTCTATGTAGCCATAATCTACACGTCTGTTCATTTTTGCTGTGTATGTTGTTTTATCCATATTATAGGCTTCTACTTGGCCTTGGCTCACACTGACCGACACCTCAGGGTCTCACAGGATGCGATTGGCATGCTTGTCAATCTAATTTTTGACCTGGCTAGTTCAATCATGTCTAGACGCCCATCCATGTAATTTCATCATCTCGTGTCTTTGAAATGCAAATATTTATAAGTCGGTTGGTTTATTCAAATGAGTGACATAAGATTTCACATGACTGTGTACTAAGAGAATGTTGTGAAAGTTTGTGAGTCAAGAATGAAGATAGGTTTTTAATTTTTTTGGAGACTTCAGTTACTAATAGTACAATGCTTATACTTGATAGCTTATCACATTTTGTTATTTCCTTGAAAACGGAAAAAACTCAAGGTGATGCTTTATTGGTATAATTATAATGTCACGAGTTTCTGGTCAAAATCAGATAAAAAGTAAAGTGATTATAATGCCTTGTTTTCTTCATTTAGCCAGAAAGCATCTATATCTGAACTGAAGGCATTATTAGATGAAGAGCGAGATCAGAGAAGAGATGATCGAGAAAAGGCTGCTGTAGATATGAAAACCTCAATACAGAGAGTTCAGGCTGAGGCTCAGGAGGAACTTAAAAGACTGTCTGATGACGCCTTAAGACGAGAAAAAGAGCAGCAAGAAGTGATTAATAAGCTTCAGGTATCTTAACAAAAAGATTTATAAGTTTCAGGTCTGCAAAAATCTTCCTGTAATTATTTTAGTGTTTTTTGTATATCATAAAGCAGTTACAAACTGAAATATTACTTATTCACAATTTCAGGAATCAGAGAAAGAAAGGTCAACGTTGGTAGAAACTTTGAGATCTAAATTGGTATCATTTGCATGATCCTGTTCTTCTACGAAACAGTGAATCATATCTATGTCTAGTTTATGATTTTTTTGTGGATCTCTGTGGGAACCAGGAAGACACTAGGCAGAAACTGGTTGTCTCAGAAAATAAAGTTCGCCAGCTTGAAGCCCAAATTTGTGAAGAGCAACTAGCTTCTACTAGTAGAAGTAAAGTATGTATGCCTGCTGCTGCCTACTCTCTGTAGGATTTATAAAATAGATGTTGCTATTTTCTGCTGTGGTGCCATGTTTTAAGAAGTTGATGAAAATACTGTATGCATCCACAGAGAATTGAAGAACTTGAGGATGAAACGAAAATATTGAGGAATGAACTGGAGAGAGAAAAGGTAGGAATGGCAATACAATTTTTCTCATTTTCTCCTTGCAATGTTGTTAACCTCGATATGAAGCCATATTAAGAGCTACTCACCCTTGCCTCCTCTCAACCCCCACCCTCTTTTCCTGCTTAAGCAAAAATTAAACCTTAAGCTGAGTTTTTTTCTTGCTGTTGGGTAGCAGGCAGCTCGGGAAGAAGCCTGGGCAAAGGTTTCTGCTCTTGAACTTGAGATAAATGCTGCAATGCGAGATCTTGATTTTGAGAGGCGTAGGTTAAAAGGTGCTAGGGAAAGAATCATGCTCCGGTAAGAATGGAATACACTGTGATATTTGATGAGTTTTTTTTCCCTTTTGCGCTATGGCGGGACTTGTAAAGCCCCACCGTTCAGGCTATTGCTGCATTATATTCTTTATGCTGGTCACCAAATTTGGATCGTTCTCATATTGCTCATTACATCATTGTTATGTGTCCCAACTGTGGGGTATGAACTCAAGTTGTTGCTACTTCTTTCACTATCTGGTTGAACTTCATTTGAAGTTATACCTCTCTTCTAGATGATACCCCAACACATTTGTCATTGTGCTAACCCTCCCCCCCCCCAAAAAAAAAAAAAAACCTAAGTAGTGTGAACCCCGATTGTTCAATAATTCACCTTTTTTTAATCTCCTTTGTGATCTTCTTGCCAAATTCCTGTGCTTCCTCATTGTTAGTATGGTTCTGGAATGACAATAAATTCTTCCAATTTTTTTTTTCTCTTTCCGCTTTCTTTTCTTCTGATGTTTATGGCTTTTCTCTGTTAATTTGGTTATTGAAGTTCTATGTAGCATTCCCAGTTATGATAGAATATCTCTAGAATTTTTTTAGTTAATTGTGTCTTCCATATGGCTTTCCAATTGTGAGTTTGATGATTTTAATCGCTTAGTGGTTACTCCTTTTCAGTTTGTTCATGTTTGCTCTAATCAACTGGTGGTTTTTGTGGTACATGGTTGCCAAGCAGGGAAACACAGCTTCGAGCTTTCTACTCAACAACTGAGGAGATTTCACTTTTGTTTGGAAAGCAGCAGGAACAGCTGAAGGCAATGCAAAAGACACTAGAAGATGAGGACAATTATGAGAATACATCGGTTGATATCGATCTCAGTCCTCACAGTGGAAATGTAAATGGATCACAACTCAGACCAAAAGAAGGATTAGGGTATCGAATCAACAGTGCTGCTAAGGCAGGCTCCAGTAGTTCGGCCCAGAGGCATGGCAGAAATCAAGTTGAGATATCTAGTGATGAAGCAAGTGTTACAGAGAAGCACACCTGCAATATCAAAAGTCAAGAAGGTGGGCAAGACACCCAGGAAGTAGAAATTACAAGTGTGGACCGCATTAAGGGGGGCTTTGGTTCTGATATTGATGGAGTTGGCACTGCGCCTGTTCTGGAGGGAGACCCTATTGAAACTGAGCGAATTCTTGAGACTGAGAGCCCAGGAATTGGTGGTCTCCAGAATATTGATTTAAACAAGTGCAGTGCGTTAGCTGGGGACACAATGCAGCTAGATGATGAAAACCATGGGGAGGAAGCTGAGCGCCAAAGGATTTGTGGGGAGAGTGCACATCTCTCACAGTCAAATAACCCCCTGGAGATTCAAAACACCATGGAAGATACTGAAGCTGGAGGCACAGTCAGAACGGCCGACCTTTTGGCTTCAGAAGTTGCAGGAAGCTGGGCTTGCAGCACAGCTCCTTCAGTCCATGGGGAGAATGATTCTCCAAAGAGTAGAGACATTGATGAGGAAGGTGCTGCAGCTTTAAATGATTCCAATGGTCTGTTGGCCGAGTCTCAACACGCCCTGTCTTCCTCCGTGGCTGTAGCTGCCAGACGGAACGAGCGTCAAGCACTGAGTGACATGATCGGGATTGTTGCACCTGATCTGAAGGAGCAATTTGGTGGTGCTGTGGGCAGCGATTGTGATCAAGAGGGATCCGAAAAAGGTTTAGCTTCCAATTCAGATACGGAAGATTGCACCGACAATGAAGATGATAATGGAGTGAATTCTGAAGAGTCTGAGGGCGGGAACCGAGCAAATGAGACTGAACGAGCTGATGACGCAATGGATGAAGATGATGAAGCGACTCAAGAAGATTCTCTTGGATAGCAGGAATTTAAATGGATGCTGCAAGTTGAATCGTTGGCCAAGGTACACCAGTCCTTGGCTGTAAATATTATAGGTCTATTTTGCGTTTTGTATCTAGTCGAAGAATATGGTGCCTACTGACTTGACTTGACTTGTGTCCTTCGATGTTCAGGGCCGGCCTAACCACAACGTGGAAGCAAAGTCTGAATTTTAGGCCCATGTTTAAAGAAGGCCCAACGTTTTTTTAGGTGCACAGTATTCCAAATCAAAAAAATTTAGATCTATGAGATNATTTTGCGTTTTGTATCTAGTCGAAGAATATGGTGCCTACTGACTTGACTTGACTTGACTTGTGTCCTTCGATGTTCAGGGCCGGCCTAACTACAACGTGGAAACAAAGTCTGAATTTTAGGCCCATGTTTAAAGAAGGCCCAACGTTTTTTAGGTGCACAGTAGTCCAAATCAAAAAAATTTAGATCTATGAGATTTTAGGCCTCCAAAAAGTCATATTAAAATTTTAACTCAATTAAAAATAAATTTGAATAGTTTGAGATCATGAGTCTAGCCCATAATATTAAAAATACACCAAAACAAGTTTTTTAGAAAAAAAAAATAAAAGATAAGGTTAAAAAAAAAATTACACACTTCTCATTTATAAAAATTCTCTCTCTCTAAAACACAACTCACTCTCTATTGAACACGAAATCTCTTCTTTTTGTGTTACGATNTTTGAGATCATGAGTCTAGCCCATAATATTAAAAATACACCAAAACAAGTTTTTTAGGAAAAAAAAATAAAAGATAAGGTTAAAAAAAAATTACACACTTCTCATTTATAAAAATTCTCTGTCTAAAACACAACTCACTCTCTATTGAACACGAAATCTCTTCTTTTTGTGTTAAGATTTTTTTTTTATTTATATTGTTGAAAAATATATAAAAATATTTTTAATTTTTTATTAAACTTAAAAAATTAAAATTAGTAGACCATGATTCTTTAAAATTAAAATTGATAAATCTTCTTTAAAATCAACTATCACAAAAATTATAGAGTCAGTAATACTATCAACTTAAAAAGATATACNTAAAAAATTAAAATTAGTAGACCATGATTCTTTAAAATTAAAATTGATAAATCTTCTCTAAAATCAACTATCACAAAAATTATTGAGTCAGTAATACTATTAACTTAAAAAGATATAGTAGTAAAACTTAAACATAAAAACAAATAATATTTCTAATCTCAAAAAATAAGAAGAATAAATTTTAAATAAAAAATTATTAATATTAAAAATAAAGTCTCTCTTTCAATTGTTGTTTTAGGACTCAAATAGTCTCTAGGCCGTCCGTATAGATGCTGCCATTGAAGTTCCTTAAAAAGTTCCAAAATGGGGTGAGAAAAGTTGTTACTAATTAGCATGGGCATACGATTTAGAACTTTTTTTTTTATCTTTAGTCGGGTTTATATGATGGTAACCTATGTCGTTTTTGTCGGGTTTAGATTTTTCCAATGCAACCGCTATGTATTCTAGTCATTTCCTATGTATTATGGGCAATTATGTGCGTGTCTTAATGTATGTGTTTTAAATAAGAGTAATACTAAATGGATNGCCATTGAAGTTCCTTAAAAAGTTCCAAAATGGGGTGAGAAAAGTTGTTACTAATTAGCATGGGCATACGATTTAGAACTTTTTTTTATCTTTAGTCGGGTTTATATGATGGTAACCTATGTCGTTTTTGTCGGGTTTAGATTTTTCCATTGCAACCGCTATGTATTCTAGTCATTTCCTATGTATTATGGGCAATTATGTGCGTGTCTTAATGTATGTGTTTTAAATAAGAGTAATGTTAAATGGACNATGTCGTTTTTGTCGGGTTTAGATTTTTCCAATGCAACCGCTATGTATTCTAGTCATTTCCTATGTATTATGGGCAATTATGTGCGTGTCTTAATGTATGTGTTTTAAATAAGAGTAATACTAAATGGATTTAAAAATTAGACTTGATAATTTCAACCATTGAATATGTAGTGGGTCCCAATAAATATTGGGATCTACAGTAAAATCAATGATTGAAATTATCAAGTTTAGTTTTTAAGTCTACTTTTTAAGTTTACGTAGTATTGTTCTTTAAATAATAGGCAGCATAACACTTTGTCAAGTTAATGTAGGTGTTGAATAGAAGAGCCAAAACACATGGGAGACAAGACAATGTTTAATCTAGAAAGGGACCACTTTCTTTCCTCTTTTTTGGGAGCCTGAACCATACGTGGCTTGTATGGTTTGGACTTTGAAGGTTTACATCCAGATGTTTCTACCATAATGATACGAAAAATTTCAGGACTGCTTGGACTTGGGCTCGTTGGTCTTCTTACGCTCGTACAACTGTAATATGATATTGAACAAAGTAGGTTCAAACTAAGCATGTATCTCCTTGTATGTTCATAAAATAAAAAAAAAAACTTTATATACCCCTTGGGATTGCGAAGGGAACATGCATGTAAGACTCAAAATGGTGATGATGAGAAAAAGAAGGGAAGGTTCTAAAATTCAAAAAGGCACGAGATGGCACTGTTACGTGCACACTTTGAAGAATTTAGAAAATAAACGAAAAATAGAATTAGAGAAAAAAACTCGCTTCAAAGGGGGGTGGTGAAAATCTCCAATAGCTCAATTCGACAAGAATCGAATCTCCAAAACTTTCATAAGAAAGATCAATACAATATTCAACCTATTAATTTCATTGATAGAAAGATTTTTAAATATAAGATAATAAAATTACCTTAATAACTAATTTGACAAATGATTCCACTATTTTAATAATCACCTAAAAAACTACCCATAAAATACTCTACCACTAACCCACTTACTAAAATAATTCCCTAATAACTATCTCAAATACTACATAAAAATTTATTAAAAATGTGTACATAACATTCCATTTTCCTTTAAAAGAATTTTGTCCTCAAAATTTGATTTATCATGAAATTGAGGAGATNAAAATTGAGACCAACCAACCAGCTTTCTTGAATCAAGCAGTGCTACATTATGCCCTTGAGTGCTCGGTCAAATTCATAGCTCTCCTGAAGGTTCAACTTCATCTTATTTTGCCATAAAAGGACTTCATAATCTGCATCTAAAGCAGAGCCTAAAGTGACACAAAATTCTAAGACATGAACAATCCATTGATTGAGCTGTTGAATCAAAGTAAGAATGTTTTTTTCAAGACACAAGAAGGTTGCTATTGATTCTGCAACCATATAGAGGGGAGAACTAAGAAAGGAAATCGTAAGGATGAAAAAGATTTGGAGGAGAAAAACCAAAAAGATAGACAAAGAAAAAGGAAACGAGAGACGTTGCAAGAAAAGGAGGCGGCCAACCGACTTCTTTATCCTTATAAAAATAAACTATGTCAATAATCTCACTACCAAACATGTGGACTGCAGCATCTAACTTCATGGTGCCCCAACTTTTATTTTCACTTGCTCCAATATTGACATTAACTTTGCTTGATGCCTCCTCAACGATTTCTGAATTTTTCTCATCAATAATGTACTTTTCTTCATGACCAACTGGTTGACAATATTGTCCAGAACTTAAATTCCCTTCTTGAAGTATGTTTCTAAGTTTGTTTATCCCTTCTAGCATTCGTTGGTTTTCTTCGATCAATCTCTCAGAACGCTTTTTGAAAATCATCACGCATCAACTTTAAAATCTTTGATGATGTAGCCATTAACAGGATCGTTGGCTCTGATACCGATTGTTACGTGCACACTTTGAAGAATTTAGAGAAAATAAACGAAAAATAGAATTGGAGAAGAAAACCCACTTCAAGTGGGGCAAAAACCTCCAATGGTTCAATTCGAGAATAACCGAATCTCCAAAACTTTCACAAGAAAATCAATACAATATTCAACCTATTCATTTCATTAATAAGAAGATCTTTAAATACAAAATAATAAAACTACCTTAATAACTAATTTAACCAATGATTCCATTATCTTAGTAACCACCTAAAAAATTACCCACAAAATACTCTACCACTAACCGATTTACTAAAATAACTCCATAATAACTACCTCAAATACTACATAAAAATATATTAAAAATGTGTACATAACAGGCACCTTCAGTTCTACGAGCCAAAATGGACTCTTTGTGACGATGCTTGCCATTAAATATGGGTCCACCCCAAAAAACAGTTCACCCTTACCTGCTTTTGCTTCATGTCCTTGAGACGGGATCCAAATCTTCTCTCACTAAACTTCTTCCCAAGTTTCTTTCTATTATAGATCACACGTGTAATTGGTAGATACCCCCTTATATACATAGTGGATTCCACTTAAATTCATGGCACATGATCTATTATTGAAAGAAATAGAAGAAATGCATGCTAGAGAGGATGACACAACCAACTTTTCCCCATTGTCAATTTTGGGTCTAATATCCTGCAAAAAAATACATAATCTCATACCCCAACAGTTTTCCCCTATTTAGATTATTTTTCCTTCGGAATAAACTATTCCCTATTCAACAATGGGCTTCAAAAACTTAACATTTCCTTGCCAAGTAACAAGTAGTTCCACAACTAAAGGGCCATGAACTTTTTTCAGTGATAAAAAAATGAGAAGACTACATGGCTAAATCTTACAGGTCTACACATACAGGCAAGAGGGAGAGATGAAGAAAGCTATAGCGATAAAACATCCATGCAAGAGAGATAAACCGAAAAAGCTAGAATGCTCACCTTAGATGCTTCACTTTGCCGCCGCCATATTACAGACGCTCCACCTTTCTTATAATCCTATCCTACATGACCAGATGCACAACACCAATAAAAAGTTGTTAGCAGTGAAAGAACGACCGAACTGAAAAACCTAATAACGCGCAACTGCAATAATCACATTGTGGAAGTTATTTTCAGAACAATTGAGATAGCAAACCTCCAGATTTAGGCACACATCGATTTGCTAGGATCTATGTAGCAAAATATCCTGCAACTGTGTGAGTGCACTTAGCACTAAAGGTTCATCATCTGGACATTAGCTCAAGTATGGCTGAAGTTGAGTAAACTTTGGGATCATAACATCCAACTTTGCTGCAAAACTACCCAACCGCATTTTGCAGATAAGCCCAACCATCCTGAAATCAAACAAAAAAACGTCATTATATTTAGCCAAAATTGAAAAACGACAAACAAAATGAAAATAGAAAAGCAAGAACAAAAGACAAATCCAACCACTCCGCATTGCATAACTTGAAGTCATTAAATTTGCAAAGCTAAAAAGGAAATGGTTCAACTATCCAGATTACCACCATGTGGATAGAAGTAATTTACAAAAACAAAAAAGAAGGAACATCTTCAACATTAATTGATGCAACACACAAACATCGTTTATAGTTTTAACAATATTCAGATCAGAATACACTGAATAACAAAATCTTAGCTCTCAAACATGGACTAAAAACTAATACCGAGCCACAAAAATAAAATCGTCATCACCCAAAACCTCAACATCTTTCTCGCCTACAAAATTCTCCCGTCCAAGTTGTTTCACTAAATTAACAAACTCCACCCTCTTGACCAGAGGAAGTGGCACATATGGGAGTCGGAAAACAGGCCTCACAACCCCAAGCTGGGCAAGAGCTGTGTTTAAGCCAATTGGGTTTGGCTCATGAAAAAGCCAGTCAATCAGAGGCATAAGCTTTGAATTCAAGGACGGATTCTTTCCCCTGAATATCAGTTCTCGCATTAAACCTGGAACCAAGTTGCTGGTAACAGATATAACTCCAGTAGCACCATAATCCCACCTTGAATCATGACACTGATCATCATTCCCGCTCCACACAACAATCCCCTTGTCTGTATACTGTGCTACTCGATCATTTCCGACACATTCCTTAACACCTGCCAAGTTGGCACTCTGCGCCAGAGTATGAATGACACGTGGCTGGATATCTTGGCCAGTTCGTGATGGTACATTATAAATGATGGTAGGGCCCATAGGGAGCACACTGCCAAAATGAGAAACCAAGCCCTCCATGGATGTTTTCCCATAGTAAGGATTGATGTGAAGGGCTGCATGCATTCCCACTGCAAAACCCTGTTCAGTGGCATGTACTGCTTCTCTTGTGGAGTTACTTCCCGTGTTTCCAATGACCTTGATAGATCCACCAAAACAGTTGACTGTGTGACCAATTAGCATGATGTGTTCATCCCAGCTCATCAACTGGCCTTCACCAGTAGTGCCACCGACGATCACTCCCTCAGCTCCATTTTCAATCTGCATGTTCACCAAGGCATCATATGCCTCGAGATCAAATCTCCCATCTGGTAGATACGGGGTTTTGATGGCAGTTATCAATCTAAGAGACTTTATGTCCTCTGTAGAAGTCCTGCATATAGAAGAAAAGCAGAGGTGCTCAAGCTTTCAAAACAGTGTAATTTTAGAACACGCTACAGTTAACCACAGCCATAGCCAAATTTAACAGATTCTATCCCTAAATGAGATAGAAACCTTTTTTTAGATCTATAACTAGTTCAAAAACTCTGTTGATCTCAGTATTTTATCTGGAGTTAATGTGCATCGAGGATTAATAATTTACCCACTCCTAAAAGTAAAATTTAAGTCAAACCAGCCTAATCTGTTTTCTTAAATGTAAACACCAAAATACAAAAGATTCAAAGCGGAAAAAGAGAAAGTAGGGGATGCTAGCTTTACCTGTTTTTAACTTCAAAACTACGCATTGGGAGATGGAAGTTAGGAATTATAGCTGCTTTTGGCAACCTCCATGTTGCATTCCTCCCGCTTACAGCAACATAAGGTGGCATTAGCTTATAAACAGGGAAGAATAAGCGGGCAGTAGCAAGAAGCACAATGTTATTCTGCTTTGCAACTACTAGCATTCAAAGGGCTTTTTAAAGTTCAAAACGGCAGATTTACATGCAGCAAATAAATGATCCCAAATCGAAAATACAAGAAACGAGTGACAGAGAGTGATATAAGCCATGCACAAAAATATCCAACTATACAGGAAAACACATTCAAAATATTACCTTGCACTGACTGACGGCTAAAGCTAAAAAAGAAGCTCCTAAAAATTGGCTGCATTATCAACAACATCTTTTGCGAAGGCATAAACATGCAACATGTACCATAGGAATGATGGTTTCACATCAAAAATATTTCAGTAGCTTAACAAACGGGACTATAATTACTAGACGTATAGCCAGCATTAAGTAGATTAGTAACAGACATGTGCAAATTTTGTTGACATAATTACAAACCAACAATGTTATAATTTATCTGAAAAAAAAAACGAATTGACATATAGCCGGATGATTGGCATGACTTTAAAAAAAAAATCTGGAAAAAGCCACTACAGGAGATCTCAACTCAATCTATCTATGCCACTACAGGAGATCACAACTCAATCTATCTATGCTTATCATTTTCGTGGTGGATTAAAAAAGAAAATTCAGCTTTACAAACCCGATACATTTGTTGAAAAATCAAATAATTAAAAAGCTAGACAATAATAGAGTAAATACTAAACTGAGACACATGCTAGTCAGGAACCTTTGCAGCCGTCTAGGAATGGGACAGTTGATTGGCAGAAATACTATTTTAATGCCATTAGAAAAAGGGCGAAAGCAGAGGAAGAGGGCGCGTAACCCTCCTCCCCCATCACTGGCATCCATTCTATCTTTGTAGAAGGGCAAATGGGTTACTCCCCAATATTTCCTTCCATTCATACATCTGTTCTTGCAAAGTCATCATTTGAACCATTCCATAACATATGTGTAATTACCCAAAAAAAAAAAATTATTATATTATTTTGGTGCATTGGCTACCTAGGAGTAATTATATATATATATAAGGATAAAAATAATTTAAAAAAAAAAGAGACTAATATATCTCTAATAAAAAGTCTTACCTAGAGACCTATTACGACTCTTATACATGTAGTTTATATAAGGTAGTATTGTTGGATAGGTCAAACCCTTATATATATATAAATATATTTAGGTTGTAGGGTCTTTTGGTGAGAAAGCTTATGGAGGAGGTTGTCCTATGAACAAAGAAGAAAAAAATAACGTGAAAGAGGGAAAGAGAGAGAAAAGAAAGAAGGAGGAAGAAGACAAGTGGATTAAGTCCTTTAAATGTGAGTTTATTATTTATTTTATGGGTTTTATAGTTTATTCAATTACATGATATTAGGTTGATGATAAAGATATTGCGTAATATGTATATATACACATATACAGAATGAGTTTCATGATAATCGTTTATTAGTATTGAAATTTATTAGATTGAATTTAGACTTATTAACTAATCAATAGGTTGAAAAAGAAAAGAAAAGAAAAGAAAAGGGTTTGGAATTGTTGTGGCAGAACAAACAACCTGGATGACTGTAGGTAGAAGAAGACCAATCCAAAAATTATAGAAAGCTCCCCTTTAATTTCAAAGAGTTTTATTTTGACCCCTTTATTCTACTGAACTTAATTTTAAGTACTTTTTTTACTTGGTAAGTTGTAAGAACAAAATTCCAGAAAATTTATGGCAGCTCCGTAAACAGAAAATTCGTTTTTAAGAAAATTACACTTTGTCCCCAAAAGTTTCAAAAATTATAATTTTACCCCAAAATTTTAAAAAAAAATTCTAAACAGCCCAAAATACTTCCATATCTTATTCCCTCGTATTAGAAATGATGTTTATATGTAAAGGATATATTAAGTATATATCAAAGAGTAGAAAATACGTAAATTAAATATAAAATCACGAAATGACGAAGTTAGAAATAGGGATTGATTGTTACATGTTATTTTGAATTAGGTGGTGATTGCATTGAAGTTGAGAAAGAGTGTTTTGAATTAAATTTTGAAAATCAAGGTGAGTAGTTTATTACTTCTTTTGGGAGGATTTTCTATATTAAACTTGTGGGTGCGTGTGTGTGAATTTTTCATATATATGATATATGTTGATGTTTGGGGTTGCAATTAAATATTTTTGCAATTGTGAATTGTTACACGTGAATTCGCAAAACTTATGAGATGATTTGATATTATTGCTTAAATGATTTTGGTGATGAAAGAGATATTTTGTATGCGATGGGACTAAAATAACAGTTTTAGTGTGTGTGTTGAAATCATGTTTTATAAGAAGGGAACTGGGTTACCAGGTCTAAATGATAACAAGATTGTATACCGGCGTAGTCGGTATAGGGATGAGCACATAGGGGCCAGTTATCAGGCTAGTGATAACAAAAGACAGGGTCAATCATCAGGCTAAGGATGACAAGAGATAGGGCCAGTTATNAGGCTAGTGATAACAAAAGACGGGGTCAATCATCAGGCTAAGGATGACAAGAGATGGGGCCAGTTATCAGGCTAGTGGTAACAAACATGATTTGACAAGTGTATTTGAGACTGAATGTGTGTGTGAGTGTTTTGAGCTATAAATGTCTTTTCTTTTATAAAGTTATTATGATCATGAGATCATTTTGTTTACATGGTTATGTAAAAGGGATTGGGGTACAATTTATTATATTTATGTATATAACAAAATTTATTTCTGTGTATATGAAATATGAGATTTATTTTCAAACCTCATTAGAGCTGGTTGCTACTCACGGGCCTTTGTGCTCATCCAAATATTTAACATTTTTCAGGTGAGGATCAGGAGGAGCAGTAAGTCCTCGGATAGACAAGGGATTAGAAGAATCGNACCTCATTAGAGGTGGTTGCTACTCACGAGCCTTTGTGCTCATCCAAATATTTAACATTTTTCAGGTGAGGATCAGGAGGAGCAGTAAGTCCTTGTCAAGGGATTAGAAGAATCAAAAATTTATTTTATTGTAGGTGTTCAGGAATAAATATTTTTTATAGTTTTGAGACAAGTATTCGATTGTTTTGAGAACAATGTTATTTTTGCTTAGAGTAGTGAACCTTATGGATTAATTATTGTTTTACCTGAGTTTAGTAATAATATTGGTGATGTTAGTTTATTTCTCTGGTATTTATTAGGTCGGTGAAAATGATCACTTTATTATTTGTCTTCCACTGTATTTTGCATTAATTATGCACAGAAATGGTTGGTTAAGGCCTTGGTGGCCGGTCCGCCGCCCACCCAATGTGATCCGGGGTGGGGGTGTGACAATATGGATCATGTAAGTTCTCAATCCAACCATAAGGGATAACTAATTGTCTATTTATTTTGCATTTCAACCTTAAAGTCTTCGCCAAGATGGTTTCATTGCACTAAATAAATTTGAGACCTTTATAAATAAAAGGTTTCGGATTATTATTTTCCATACACCCATTTACAAGCTTGTTATGTAAGAATGAAAGCAACACAAATCATTTAGTATAAATTCTAGTATACCAATTTTTAAAGAAAAGCAAAGTGATACGACAAAACGAGAAATCAACATCCAGCAGATTAACAAAATACTAAGTTTTTAAATAAGAAACGAGAGTAACCTCTTGTAGTTATCGAAGCAATTGGGATGAGGAGATCGGAAAGCGTATTCCTTTTGACACGAGCTGAAGCTCTTGAACGCCGACAATTCCTGAATCGCAACCGCCATTTCCACCGTTCAAAAAATATTATATGGGTTCGAATATGTAAGATTTGTTTGAGGATTATCTGGATAATGTTGAAATTTCAGCAAATTGTAATGGTACTGATTGGAATAATGGTGGGAATAGTCGTGAATGTGGTGGTGGTGGTGATGGTGATGGTGGTACGGAGGAGGTAGGCGGAGAAATGGGCAGCGACGTGGACCATGGTAGAAGATTCCGGCGACGAGGTTGTGGTCGCAATGGTGGCGAGAAGTGTTAGATGTGAGGACGAGGAAGGCGGTGAAAAGTGTGTGATTGGAGTTTTCCCGAGTTTGATTGCTAGGGTTTTAGATTGTGAGGCTGTGGCACTCCGGTGTATGCTTTGCGTGTACTACACTAGTCAAGTTTTGACAAATGTCCTTCGTATTTACTTATTTTTATTTTTTCTGGTCAAACACACAGGAAGAAATATTATTTTAACCTAATTAAATATAACAATTGAGTTAAAAGTAACTTTTATACAACATTGAAATTTATAACTACCCCAATGACTATATTGAATCAGATTTGTAATTAGATCTTCAAATTACGTCCGTATAATATTGCTTAGAGAATGGGGAGCGGCGTTATCACTAGGAGTGTTAGAATATGATGTGATTCGTTAATACGACACAAAATTATAAGATTTTGGTCTTATTTAAGTCATTCATTTAAAAAATGAGTGAATTTAATTCGACACAATTAATAAATAAATCGAGTATGAGTGAAGTCAATCAAAAGAAATATGAGACATAATTCGCCTATGTATCATTTATATATGATTGATATACGACAAAAATCTGATGACACGATTTTTCAGACATAAATTAATAAATAAATCGAGTATAGGTAGAATATTTTTTAACACGAACCCGTAAAAAGTTGAAAAGAGCTCATTTCACCCGACATGATTGACAGACATAGTCATCACTTTGACGGACCCTTATTGTCGCAACCACCATTAAGGTAATTCGGATTAAAAATTTTCTAAGTCTATTTTAAAAAAGAATATTGAATTATTCAATATGCATAATTTATTTCTAATTATGTGAATGCATAATTTGCATTATAACCTTGGAGCAAAAAACCAAATTGTTGAAACACTTTCTTTATTCCAACATAAAATTGTGTATATAATAAAACTCACGACATAAAAATAAAAGAGCAATGCTATTGGAATATAATTTATGAATATAATGAGTTGTCACCAATAAAATGGTAGTGAATTCATTTAATGCTACAATGTGACTTATCATTAAATATATTTCATTATCATTTTATTAGTGACAATTCATTATGTCCCTAAATTATGGCTTAATAGCATTAGTGAAAATAAAAATAGCACAGAGACATTTTGTGTGAATTTTATATAAATATAATTAGTGAAAATTGGGGCTGACTCCTTTTAAATGAACTTATAATAATATAAGTTTATCAAAAAAACTTATTTAAGGATAAGTTCATTTCTAAACTTATTAGTAAGGAGTTAAATCTATTTTTTTTTTCATTTAAAAAATATTCTTAACAGTGTTAATTTAGTCAATTATGGAAAGTTCAAAGACATTATCTATAGGGAGTTATATATGCAGGTCAATGATTGAATATATGAATACTTAATTTATGATGATAATTGTCAATTACAAGCTTTTCATAATATTTTAAATTTAAATTTTTAATCATTATTTTGTTTGTTATACTTTTAAATAATCGACTTTCAAAATTTGAGATTAATTTAAAAGAGACAAAGGTTGAAGTTGAAATACGAGTTTAAAAATTTAATCACCCATAAATATAATAGGTAACAAAAATCTCGTTAAGAAAAATAGAACAAACCGACAGCATCGGCATTTTTCTGATATGCGTCAGCTCCCAGCCAAGATAGCCGCCTGCCTTCTGTTTCTCTTTGTTTTCCCAGCCGCCACTCACAATGGAAAGAAAAAAAAGCCCAGCCGCCTCCTCTAAAGCAAAAATATATAGGTTGAAAGTCAATCCTCTTTTGAAAAAATATATTTTGCTCCCCTCTTTTCTTCGGCCTTTTTACNGAGGTCAATGATTGAATATATGAATACTTAATTTATGATGATAATTGTCAATTACAAGCTTTTCATAATATTTTAAATTTAAATTTTTAATTATTATTTTGTTTGTTATACTTTTAAATAATCGATTTTCAAAATTTGAGATTAATTTAAAAAAGATAAAGGTTGAAGTTGAAATACGAATTTAAAAATTTAATCACCCATAAATATAATAGGTAACAAAAATCTCGTTAAGAAAAATAGAACAAACCGACAGCATCGGCATTTTTCTGATATGCGTCAGCTCCCAGCCAAGATAGCCGCCTGCCTTCTGTTTCTCTTTGTTTTCCCAGCCGCCACTCACAATGGAAAGAAAAAAAAGCCCAGCCGCCTCCTCTAAAGCAAAAATATATAGGTTGAAAGTCAATCCTCTTTTGAAAAAATATATTTTGCTCCCCTCTTTTCTTCGGCCTTTTTACTTCAACTCCTCTTAATTCCAACACTTTTACTTTAATCCCTAAAGTCCAAATCTTTGTAATTTGAGGAAGATAAAGCCCAATAAAAATTATGAGTGTCGGGCCCATGTGAAAGTTATATCAATTTTAGCCTTTTTGCTCCATGGGCTGCTATCAAAATAAAAAAAAAATAAATATAAAAGCCCAATAATAAAATTTCAAAAATATTAAATATAAATCCTAATTGTAAATTATCTCTCCCCAACTAATAATGCAATATTTGAGATTTAAAATATTGTAAAATCATGTTCAAATATATCTCAATGTGAATAGATATTAAATTCAATAATATAAATTATATATAATTATTTCTATTCATATTTTAACATTTTAATCTAATAATAGGATATTTAAAATGCACTTTCGCACACTCATCAAAGTTCGAGATTTTAAAAAAGTAATATAGACAGCGCATGCCAAGTACTTGATGTTAGCATAGTAATATCAGTTCAATAACATCAATTTCAAAATATAATTTACTAACACATCAAACAATAACAAACTATGTAAGGCTCTAACGTTGATCCTAAGTTGACCTTCGTCATATCCTAAGTATATTGACCATCTTACCACAAACCATATAATGATATTCTCAAAAGAAGTATCTAGTTCAACAGATCAATGAACGCTTATCACAATTTATTGTAGTTGTAGGCTCTCAATCCTCTCCAAAACTCACATGACTACTTAAGCAAAAGAGTTCTTTAACTATATGTGTCAAACCACCATCTTACCACAAAGCTTGGATGAGTGCATTAGAGATTCTGTGAATGCTTTAGACAAAAAATTAATTATGGTGGTTTTGGAGAATTCACAAAGATGACTATGAATGAGAATAAAAACACACGTGAAAAGGATGCACGTGTGATATAAAATTAAAAATATTTCACACATGAAAATATGCCACAGAGTTTCAACAAGCATTTTAAATATTGAATTGCACCACTACTGCCTAACTTAAATGAAACACTGTCCTCAATGTTTAAGAATCAAATTTGAATGGAGAGAAACTAAAAAAGGTAGAATATACTTGATGAGTGACGTGGATAGTTCATTAAGCACCAAAGATGGTAACTTGACAAATGAAACTAACCTGCAAACAAAAACAAAGGAAACAACAGTAAACTAAAAGGAAAAATAAAAATAAAATAAAATAAAACAAAACAAATAAAGAAAAACATACTTGCGTGGTGTGGTCAATGTTGATAGACCGGATCCTTAAGTGGAATGTCTTCCACTTCAAGAACTTGTCTATCAATTAACATTTTAAGGCGTTGACCATTTACTTTAAAAATCTGGTCATCCTTAAGATTATCTATTTTCCATCACCCCATGTGTAAAAATATTCTTCATTATAAAGGCCCGGTCCACCTAGACCTAAGTTTTTTAGGGTGCTTATGGAATCTAGAATCATATAAGAACACTCAATCATTAGGCTTAAACGTTTTTCTCAAAATATTTTTATCATGAAACGCTTTCATTTTAGCCTTATAGATTTTAGAGTTCTCATAAGCATCATTTCTCAATTCCTCTAATTCGGTTAGCTGAAATTTTCTAAGTTTACCTGCTTCTCTCATGTTAAAATTGAAATGCTTGATGACCCAATAGGCTCGATGCTCGAGCTCTATAGGTAAATGACAAGGTTTTCCAAAAATAAGCATATAAGGTGATATGTCTAAGGTAATTTTGAAAGCTGTGCGGTAGGCCCAAAGTGCATCAACTAGTCTCAAAGACCAATCCTTGCGACTGGGTTTACCGTTTTTTCTAAACTTTGCTTAATTTCTCTGTTTGTAAGTTCTACCTGTCCACTTGTCTGAGGATAGTAGGCAGTTGAGATCTTATGTACCACCCCATATATTTTCATTAAAGCCTCAAAAGAACGGTTGCAAAAATGAGTACCCCGGTCACTAATGATAGCATGTGGTATACCAAATCATGATAACACATTTTCTTTGATAAATTTAATTACCGCCTTATTATCATTACTCATGCAAGATGCTGCATCTACCCATTTTGACACATAATCTATTGCCACAATAATATATTGATATCCAAAAGAAGGAGAAAATGGTCCCGTAAAATCAATGTCCCAACAATCAAAAATTTCAATCACTAAAATTGGGTTTAAGGGCATCATATTACGACGAGACATAACTCCTAACTTTTGACACTTTTCACATGAGCGACAATAAATGTTTGCATCCTTAAACAAGGTGGGTCAATTCAATCTGCACTGTAGAATTTTTACAGCGATTTTCTTCATTGAAAAGTGGCCCCCACAAGCTTGAGAGTGACAAAATTCCAAGATGCTGACAATTTTCTCATCAAGGATGCAATGCCTTAAAATTTGATCAGGACAATATTTGAAAAGAAAAAGGTCATCCCAATAGAAATTTCGTACCTCAGTCATGAACTTCCTCTTGTCCTGAGTGCTCCAATCCACTGGTATCTCACTTGCAGCCAAATAATTCACAATATGAGCAAACCATAGTAGAGAAGTAACAGAAAGTAAATGTTCATCGAAAAAATCATCCCTGATTGGCAGGTGGTCAGAAATATCCTCAAATGTGAACCTCAAGAGATGGTCAGTCATTACGTTCTTCACTCCTTTCTTGTCTTTGATGGTGATGTCAAATTCTTGTAAAAGTAAAATCCACTATATTAGTCGTGCCTTAGCATCCTTCTTTGTAAGAAAGTACTTAAGAGCTGCATAATCTGTGAAAATAATAATAGGAGAACCAATCAAATAAGCACGAAAATTTATCCAAAGCAAATACTACAACTAACAATT